CGGTGCCATATAGCGCTTATCAAACCGGATCACATTATTATTGTATTAGGCACCAGTGTTAGTGTTATCCTCCAACACACATAATAAAAGACCCAACTTCTCACCCTCTAAATTTACTTGGTGAGATGACCGTTAGGAAGCCATTATTTACTTCCTGTTATGAGTGTTACACTTGGCCAAATGTCCTCACTTGAGTAAAACGGTGGGTTTTAGGTGAATTTAGTGGCAGTAATTTTATGGTTATAAAATTTGCCAGCATAAGAATAGCGCTAGAATTCTGGAGAGGAAAAGTGGTGGTCAAAATGGGTTAATGGTTCGTATCTTATATTCCATCAAGTATTCCTTCATTCCTCCACAATGAGGTATGCCATCATGATGTCATAACTTACAATCAGCTTCAAGAAGCGAGCACGAAAACGAAGTATAAGACCAGGAACCAGATGTCCTATTAAAAGTTGTATTTCTTCATTCAGTAATATTGTCCGCCTTTCAAAGATGCCATAACGGAGAGCAACCTCATATAATCACGTTTCGTTGTGTGATTGACCGTCAGACCGTTAAGCAAGCCCGGGGGTGGGGGGGGGAATTTATAGTATGATACCAGAGAATCAGTCGGCATTAGATAATGCAATGTTTTCGTTTCTAATACCTCGTTATAAGAAAAATCGTAATTTTGTGTAACATTAAAGGTAATCACTTTTGAAAAAATATTAAAATATATAGGTAAATCATAAAGTAAATAGTTCGTTTGTAGATGATGGACAGACATTTGTTTGTAGCCTCTGTGGAGTCTTATCTTTTATGATATTTTAGATATCGTCAATTTCTTCAAAGATTTCCAATAGACGCTGTGCATGCACAAAGATAACATATCCAGGTTAATTCGCAACACAAGTCGCGCTAAGAATAAGTAAAATGTATTTGATTCACGGGTTATGATATTGTTTTGTATAGGGCCTCGCAAGACAAGCAAATCTCCACAGTTCCATTCAACATTTCACCTTTAGGGTGTGGCAGTAGAGTGATGGCATGTCTCTTATGGTGTTTGAGTACGAAATGGTTTCACTGGCTAGTCGTCTGTCCTCGTGTCAACCTGAACTCCATTATAAAAATAATATGTACAAAAGTGTAGGTTACAAAGAGAAACTCAATATTCATTTTTATATTTTTATTTTTCTAAACTTATTAGTAACCTAAGACATACACAATACATGAGTAGAAGGTATAAAAATCATCTAAACAATCCAGTAGCAAAACTGAGATACGTTTTGATTCGTCCATATTGTTTACTTAAGCATGTAAGAACTACAGCATAATTAAATATAAACAATGGCATGTGAGCCATAAGAATATCATAGAGGCCCGGGATGAACAAAGACAGTGCTGTGTTAGTGATGGCAGGGCTTAGCAATAAACAAGAGAAGGTACAATTGATTATAGTAGAAGATCAAAAAACACCCTGCCTCTGTTAATGTTATAATTATATTTCTATCACCTTCATTTTCTTTTTTTAATTAGTGAAGTCAAGTATGTTAAATATATTATTAATCAAAGCAAATAAAGTATGCATCTTATTCTCTAAAGGCCAGGTAAAGCAAAAAAAATAAAAATCATAACTCCTAATAATCCGACTACTGAAAGTAAAACACCTTTATAAAATGCAATTTATGATAAATTTCAAACCAGCAGGATTGAATGTGTTTTGTAAATTGTGTATACAGTATTGCTATTTCCAAAAACTTTCTTTTCTCTTTGCCATGGAAAACTTACACCCCTGCCGCTCAAATACAGAATTTTGTTCACATTTTGTGCACAATTTGTAAGAGGTTTCTTTATACCAATAAAGTATATATTAGGGCAACAAGTTGTATATAAACTTATATACAAAAATATCCAGGATTTTTACTAAAAGTCGACATGAAAATGTACGAAAGACCAGACGTTGATGGAACACGTTTTAATAATTTAAACCTTTCAGATTTTAAATGAATGGAACATCTGTGCAAAGTATTTTTAGATGCTGCTCAATCTAAACGGTGATGATCTTGATCCAAACATCGTTGATGGACTCTTGTGGATTCTCACTTTAAACTCAGGTGACAAAGGACTGTCTGCGTTCCGTAGATGTTCACAAATCAACACCACCCATTTTGGTGTTATCACCGAATGCTGAATAACTCCATTGGTTATGACATCCAATATATATAGCATAAGGTATATATACACAGGTATATGGCGTGCAGACCATCACCCAGTAAGCAGTAAAACAATATGCCACTGTTCAATTCGCCCAGTGCAGAAGCCCCATAAAGCTTCGGGTTGAATATGATGATGATCACAACCATCAACAACATCAAAGATACATATGAATGCATCGTCAAGTATTTTTAATTGCACTGAGCATACCTAAACAGAGTACTGTTATTTCCAGAACTGCTTTGTTGAGTACTTTTCGTGTTACTGTATATAGGAAAATATATACAACAACAAAGTTGGATATAAGAATTTTGATACATAAATTTACTGATTGTTAAAGCTATAGCAAAGAAAAATAATGAACTATATAGGGAATCAAACAAACCTTTGAGCTCCCCAAAATAATTATAAACCTAAGACGATTTTTACCATACATGCAAGTAAATGAAGGAATAAAAGTTAATAGTAAAGTACAGCAGTCAGTAATTGCTCCGTAGACAATTGACTTTGATCTCTCATTATACGTGCTGTACAGTATGTCCGGCGTTATACTATAAGGTGGGAAATATTGTAATATTGTACATGTATATTATATTCTCATTAACTAAAAAAATCCTCAGTGTTAATGTTACTACAGCATCCAGATTCATGAAATACCTGTGGTCTTGGATGTGGCAAATTATTAGTCGCTTGGACACCTGGTTAGTTTAAGAGACCTGTGATTTACCGGGGGTAATTATGAATAACTGCAATTGCTGTAAATCGAGCAATCGTTATATACTTCTAAGTATAGGAGTATCTGTATTGTTACTCGGGCCGCCTCATAAGCACTTTAGGTTACTTATATAACGACCTAAGTATTGCATGCAATGATCAGGTTTCTTGAATCTCACAAACTGTTAGATGTATATAGTTAAATACGAAATTATTACGTGGAAACATTCTGCCTCGACTGGTTGGGAAGATCGTCTGAATATCTGAAAATCTGATCAAGTACTGTAATTTCATAGAAGAAGCATATAGGCCTACAGTTGTAATGAACCATGTTGATATTCTGGAGTAATTCTGCCAACAGGTTAGTCGGACAGAATGATATACAAACACATAAATTAGTACGAGTGAAGCAACATTTACTTCGTCCAGGTTTTTTTCCCTCTAAGAACTCTGCCGCCTCTTTTGGCTTTTTTTTCTTCTGGTGTTTCCGGGTTGGGAAAAAGGTCCTCCTGTGGGGCGGTGACTCTGTGTATCTTACCCGCACACACAGTTGGTACAGCGCCTCCATGCAGGTACTCTTCCTTGTGGGTACCCAAGTGTTTCAATTCTCAAATATTACATGTTATTGAATGACGTCCGTTTGCTTAAAGGGCTTTAAAAGTTAATTTTATTAAGAAAAGTTCATGCATTGTAAAAATTAGATTTTCCTTGCCAATCATCTGAATTGGAAAATATTTTAGAACTTAAGACTGATTAGGTGAGAAAACTGACGCATTTTTTTTTATACGATTAGCCTACCAGGCATAGCCACGACCCACATCAGGCCCGTGAAAAATATAATAATAATAATATAATATTAGTATTAATTAATATAAAATATAAAACGATATTAATAAAAAATATACTCACTACTACTACTACTATCATTACTACTACTACTAATAATAATAATAATAATAATAATAAATAATAATAACAATAATAATAATCAATAGTGAGAAACGATACAGTAGGTTGGGTTCTCAAAGTAAAGAGAAACAATTGAAACCCCTGCACTGTAAATGAAGCAGAAAGGCAGATCAGCAACCCAATTTGGCCATAATTTTTTGTGATGCCATATGGCAACAGGGCTCCACGTATTAGACAATACAATATGCTTCCAATATCTCCCCAGGCGGTAGTACTTCCTGGCCAGTAGCTCATCTACTTTTTGATGTTACCTTTTATCTTGTGCATAATGAAGTGTTAAAACAGTAACCTAATGAGTCATTATTGGTTCTATATTGAAGTTTAGGTTATTATTATTTGTTAATATTACAAACGTACCTTTGTGTAGTGCTCGCAGTAGATCCTGACTGTGGATACTATTTTCATTGGATTGAAACTGAAGTTCGACTTTGTCGCTCCTTTTGCTGGGTCTTGTTCTCCACTCTCTCACACAGACACATCACTTCTGGCTGTGATGGGTCCAGTATGTTGTGCGTTGTATTCAGTGACAAAGACAGAAAATTTTAAAGTCACAAAACATGGCGGTCCAGAACGACCATCAACCAGCGTCATCAGAGTTCGACGTTTTTCTACTGGTAACAACACACGGAAATAGCACCTAGGAAGTTCTCTTGCTCTAGTCTGCGAAGGGTCTTGGCGGTATAAGCATTAGGGCCATTCAAGTATATGCTGCCGTAGTTGCGATAACTATACCCACATGTTTGCTTGGGTTTCTAAGTGCATTGTTTCACTATAAGATTTCGTGACATTTACAAACATTAACAGATAATGATAAAAAATTTTCAATTTTATTTACGGTGGGAATTAACTTAGCAAATAGAATTATTTATAAACTATATTAGAGGGATGAAATGTACAGTAGATATTAAGATATCTGAGAAGTTTAAGGTTTACAATAAAAAATCATATCGACTATCAATAAAAAACAATACCAATAATTTTCTATTACTACTTGCTACATTTCTGGTAAGCCCAGTATAAGAGACGACGACAGGGGATTGCAAGGACGATGAGGAAGAGGATACAACCAAAGTAGAGCAGAATGGACGTTGCCCACGATGATCTTGATCCACTCCAGGCCTTCTTATCCTGGTCCTCGCCTGTGAGGAGGGAGTCAGGGTCTTGTTCAGTGTCAACTCAAAATGTCATGATAGTTAATGGATTCCACAAATAAGTAATACAAACCAAAATAAGCAAATAAATACTTTGATCCACCATGTCTCGGCCTGTAGTATACCGGTATAATTGAAGTTAAGAAGGGGCCACTTTGAATTAAAAGTAAGCTTGATATTTTATCAGACCGTGTTTGGTTAAATGGTTTTGGCTATGGTCACGCCAACCTAACCAAACCTGAACTGGCTTTTGATAATTTGCCATGACACGGTTTTCGGGTCATAAATCAATTCTTCAAGGTGTCATTCTTGTCCAAGGGTTAATGACAATGGCCCGATTGTCAGGTTGTCTTTATATTGTTTCTTTCATAAGTATATTTACATCATTCATTGAAATTTTTAAGATACTATAAAAATGTTGGAGATAACCTCTATATCACATAGACTTGCGTTACTACTGCCAAAGTATAAAGCCTGCCACCGCTTACTTCCACACACGGGGACAACAAAGGCGAACTCCATGATGAAGCGGATCATTCCAATGACCAGCCCGACAATGAGACCCCAGAAGGCTCCCTGCAAAATCATTTTACCATAAGCCATACAACTCTAAACTTTGAAAGAATTTGTGCTTTTCATGACCTATACATCACCCATTTGATAGGTATTTCAGAGGACTTACAGGCTCGGTGGTTCGTTCCCAGAATATAGCGAGGAGGTAGATGGCGCAGATGGGTGGAGACAAGAAGGATGAGATACTCTGGATGTACACAAACAGCTGAGAATTCGCCGAGTTTCTGTGACAAATAACACAGGTGATAAGAAATTATGCAGTTATTGTAACTTAAGGATAAGAATAACGGATATTAGTGGACTTAGCTAATGTTTATCATTTAATCTGAGAACAACAAGATGCAGGACTCACTGGATGACTGGGATCCATATGACGGATACCACCACCATCACCAACACGAACACTCGCCCAACGATCAACAACTCCACGTCTGTCGCCTTCTTGCGGATTCTTGTCCAAATGTCGATAGAGAAAATAGTGGAAGAGGAGTTGAAAATGGAAGTGAGAGACGACATGAGGGCTGCCATCATCACAGCCAGCATCAACCCTGACAATCCTGGTAATACAAATACAGAATGACAAGCAACTTGTAACTGGGAGATATGGCTCAAGATCCATAGGCTCAACTTTAAAAAAGAAAGTCCCTTTATTAACAACAAAGGAAATAATTATCCTAATTATCCCAGTTACTGTTACAGGGTAAATAAAAATTCTGTAAAAGTGAAACTAAATGCAAATTGCATATTTAATACGGGAACAATGTCTTGTTTTAGAAAATTATTTACTTAAATTATTTTATAGTAATATATTTTTTTTCATTATCTGTAAGAAAACCCCCACCCGCGACAGAAGAAAAATTATGGAAGAAGATCGTGCCAGGCAGCATACCTGCAGGCAGCAGATTAAGGACAAGTTCAACGTAGGCAATGTTGGTGCAACCTGTCTCACTGCCACAATATTTCTTACACTCCTCGGGCACGACACAGGCCACCTTGTTAGTGTAGAGTATCCTGGCTGCCATCCCTGGGAAAACTAGCATGAAGAGAGGCAGGAACTTGAGGAGACTGGCCAGAACACAGCCACCCTTGACGTGAAGCATATTTCTGCTAGAAAGCGTCCTCTGTACGATAACCTGTGTGGGAAGGGGCGGGGGTGGGGGGTGGTACTGTAGTAAACACACTAACTATACCAAAGCTGTTGTACAGTTACCCAAAAAAGTCCTGTCGCGAACCATGAACCCCGAGATTCAGACTTTTGAATCCGAAGCATTTATGGACAGAACAATGTATCAGTGTCTACTGCTTCGGATTCACGAGTCTGAATCTCAGGGTTCGTGGTTCGCGACAGGACTTTTTTGGGTGACTGTACATAATTATATCTGGTACTTTGACTCGGTGGTAATTACATACTAATAAACCACTTACTCTATTCTCTGTGTGTATAGATTGTACATTGAAATTAGTAAAGGCAAATCACATTACCTGTTTAAGGTATTGTTTCCACCGAATTAAGTCACCTTATGTAACTGGTGTAGTAATCAAACATCTCCTTAAGTGAGAATATAGTCTGCAAGTCTTCTTATAACAAAAATTGCCGTAAAAAGTTAGTTAGCATACACTGGACATATTTTTACTGTATCATAAACGACACGAGATACAGTGCAAAAAGAATTTGCTCTCAAGCGCTCAATACAGTAGTATGTGAAACAAGTGTATATATCCTTCGCTCTCTGGAACTCGTTAACCAATTGAGATTTTGTGATCCAGTTTAGTTTGTACAAAAATCTGTGAGTTTTGTGGACTCCCCTGATTTCCCATTTCTAGTTAGAGCCTCAATGGATGGTAAATTTTATTCACCTGGTCGGTGCACCAATACCAGATGCTGGAGATTGTGATGCCCAAGAACATACCAGTCCAGGGCAAGTCAGATACCCCAGGCTCAATAGACCTGATAAAGTTCATGGCGTAAGCTGGAGGCTCCCCGCAGTTGGTGGTGTTGTCTATGGTGGAGAATCTGGTCTTGTTCGGTACACTGTAAAAGTAGTCCTCCACCAATCTATCGTACCCACCCACCTCATAAAAGGCTTCAGGAGAAAGAAAACATTGTATGATGTTAGTAGGGGAAGTAATGTTAGTAAGGAGTGGTAGAGCGAGTAAGATTTGTGTGGTGGTAAGGGTAATACGATTACAAAGAAAGAATTAGGGGATTAATGTATTGGATATTGTTACTAAGAAATAAATTAAGTTGTTAGAGGGATTAGTAGAGGTAAAAACAGAATTATAACAGTGTACCAATTTTTCATAAGTTTGGAGCATACTCACACAAACGTAGTACTCACACATGCCCATAAGGATACAGGCGCCGACAACCATGAGGATAGTTTGCACAAAATCAGTCCAAATGACGGCCGTGAGTCCTCCAGTGATGGTGAAGATGGAAGCGATGGCCAGAAGAATCATGATGCTGAGGTACATCCACTCAACGCTGTTCTTGTTCAACATCTGCTGGATGAACAGCGCCCCCGCGTACAAGTCAGCCTGTAACAAGGGTCAACAAGGCTCCTCAGAGGTTAAATTGTATCAATAATTTCAGGCAGGTTGGCACATGTATCATAGCACTGGTCAGAAATGTCAAGAATTAGCTCCGATAACTAACTAACAATTATCAAAAGTTAATCTCAATGACCAAGAACGGTATAGAAATTTTTGGTCCTTTCTTGATTCAGAAAAATATTACGAAGTAAGTTAATAAGAGTATGGATCATCAAAGTCTTGGGAAAAGTCAAATGAATAGGTATAGTCCGGAGATTATGAGAGACCAGATTTGATTAAGCTCAATAAGGTATAATAGATATCTTTATTACAGGTTAACTTACCGATATTTTGGTGAAGATTGAAAGGATAATAGCGAGGCAGGAGAGATAGACCCTTATCCTCTGGCCGCCAAACCTCTCTCTGAGGTACTCTGGCATGGTGTATACCCCAGAGCTCAAGTACACAGGCACGAACACCCATCCCAATAACATCAGCACGAAGATGGCCTGAAAGTGTGCAACAACTCTGTACAGGCATTGAACAGCCATCCCAGCAACAGATCGCGGAACCTTCAAACACAGTACATATAAGGTGTTACTTTAAACTTATCCGTAAAGTGTGATGGATTTTATATCTCAGAAATATTTTTTATGATATGCAGTAGACATATGACGATACAGTACTAAGATGTAGCTATATATCCAAAACCAATATAGTGATGCATATTATTACATCAACAGTAATATATTGGATTTGGGTGCTTAAGTAATGATAAAAGGAGGACGTTCCTGTGCGGTGTTACAGTAACCGTATACCATGTAACGTTGTCAAAGGCTGGTTAATCTCATATCAGTGAAGCAAAACCATCAAGTAAAATAGCAATTTAATATAAACTATTTACAATGCATACAAGAAACAATAATGACAAAACTAAGTAGGAAAATTGCTCAATTCGAGAATTTAGCCGTTGACAAAACAACACTGTTAAACCTACAATTAAATCAATTACAATATACAGTACTTAACTTAACTATGGTGGACAAAAGTTCCTTCCCTCAGCCAGTCACAATGTGACTGAATCACCTGGGGTTCGAATGCCGAAGTAACTGAGGGAGGTGATGTAATCGTCCAACAGATGGTGTACTGTGTAGTACATATAACGGGGGATGGGGACCAGAGGGAGAAAGAGAGGGAGGGCTGAGGGAAGGGACTTTTGTCCACCATAGTACTCATCACTATGGAGGAGGAGGCGAGACCCACGACCGCCAACCATACTGTCGTCCACAATTCGATTGGCTGTTCTCGGAATAGAGTCGGGACTCGGGTGTTTAACCCAACACCAAACCTCGGATGAATGAGTCGGAGCATTAATAGAGTCCAGAGTGGAGACTCTTGGCAGTCCTCACCACCTTTTTACTTAACCAATAGATGGCGACTGTCGTAACAGCGGCACTTACCAAAATGCACAAAATCCAATTACGAACGGGAGGTAAACGTTTAAAACAGTTTTCAGTATATTTCTTAAATACACATGAATCCTACTGATACTTGAAAAAAAATAAAATTAAACAGGTATATTTCAGAATATAATAGACTTAGAGAAGAGTGAAGTCACCTTATAGACACTTACGTCTAACTCGAAGGCACCGATGCCTATACCTGAGGCGGCTCCTGACCCTGCCAGTCCAATAAAGTGACCTGATCCAATGTTGCTGGCAAACAGCGACGAGCCCACCTGAGGGAGGATAAATGGCCCAATATAGGTGTGACATCAGTGTGGGTGTGAGACATCAGTGTGGGTGTGAGACATCAGTATGGGTGTGAGACATCAGTGTGGGTGTGAGACATCAGTGTGGGTGTAAGACATCACTGTGGGTGTGAGACATCAGTGTGGGTGTAAGACGTCAGTGTGGGTGTAAGACATCAGTGTGGGTGTGAGACATCAGTGTGGGTGTGAGACATCACTGTGGGTGTAAGACATCAGTGTGGGTGTGAGACATCAGTGTGGGTGTGAGACATCACTGAGTGTGAGACATCAGTGTGGGTGTAAGACATCAGTGTGGGTGTGAGACATCAGTGTGGATGTATGACATCAGTGTGGAATGTGAGGCTTGAGTATTGGTGTGAACTGATATTGCGATAAAACCATTGATAAGACAAGTTTAGAAAAAAAACGAGATTTAGTGGTTTTAATTAAATGAATCAAAAGGCAAATACGCAGCGGGAGACCTTGGGGCCTCTATAGAAATACTGTAAACAGACATACTGTATACTTACGGGTATCCAGTGCATTTTGCGGGAGGCGAGGAAATATCCGGAGACGCTGCCCCGCTTGGTTCTCCACGACGACTGTGGGAGATGGAGTTCCAGTTCAGTCAATTATATCCATTATAAATTTTGACTCCTTGATTGAGAAGTGTACCGGTCGTGAAGCGAAAAAGACACCAGTAAAGAACTTTGGAGGTACCAACATATATCGTAACTGAAGCAGCTTTCGTACGTTAGAACTTGTCTAAAAAAACACACACAAAATAGATTACAAGGTGTATTCCTAAGACATACATAAGAATAAATGACTCCACGACCATAGTGACAATACACCATAGTTTCGAAGTTATAACGCATGTCAGTTGGGGGTTGGAACGTAATAAAATCTAGGGAGTCTCCACCCGCGATATGTATAATTTGAAAAGCCTAGTTTTAGGAGAGATGGGTAGGTGGATGCCTATGGACCATGTTAGTGTGTAAATTGACAACGCGATAGTATACTGTGAATGTGCTCTCTCTCTAGAGTGTTATATGACAATTTACACCTTATTAGATAATTGCTTAGATTTTGTCGTTGGAGGTTACGTTAACACTTACATGAAAACTTGTTAACTTGTCTAGTTTGTTGTTGTTACTGATTTATGTTATTACAAGGCGATATAAATTAAAGAATTGTGGAAGATTTGTTGTAAATATCACAGCATTGATTATTTTATGAGTGGTAGTGAACTGCACGCTATACATGTTCTCTTCATGTGAAGTGTGCCTTTCTAATGGCATTGTGAGATACTGTTGTAGTGGATTTCTCCCCTACAAACGCTGTTTGTCGCTGAGTAGCCGACCCCACGAATTCCCCAGTGTATGCCTCGTGGTCTAGGTCAACCAGCGCCACCTTACATAACGGAGGTCAACTACTAAGCCACGCCTACCTCCGCTATTTAAGACTTGACCTCGTGGTGACAACCGTATAATGACTAGTATTATATCCGCCAGGTTCTTAATAAGCCTCAGATTAACTCATATTGAGGAGGAATCATACACTGCATAATTTCTTAACATAATAAAATTAGGGAATGTATTTACAAAGACAAGTAAAACCACAAATGAAATACAAACAACCACAGCCTAAATTAAACCTAAACCCTAACCTCAGCCTTACCATGCACTTGAACAATACAATAGAATAAACCATTTGTCTCCATATACATATATCCTGAGACTAGACCAACTGTACCACCCTTGGACCACATTCTCAGGCCAGCCAGGCTCGTTTGCCTCTCCCCAGTCCCACTCACCAGATGAGCTGGTGGACCAGTGACCTACACAGTACTGATTCCATGTCGCCAATTATCAAACTATTTCCCTAACTAATACACAACATAGGCTGGTTTACTTAATACTTACATATTGTAAATTAATATATGTAACATTAAACAACAATTACGTAAAAGAACAAAGTAATATAAAATATCTCTCTCCTACTGAACAAGCACGGTAATTACCTCTGAACAGGTAAGGTAATTTACCTATAAATCCAATATAGATTCGGTGCCACATAGCGCTATCAACCGGATCACATTATTATTGTATTAGGCACCAGTGTTAGTGCAAGGACAAATCCCTCCAACACATAATAAAGACCAACTCTCACCCTCTAAATTTACTTGGTGAGATGACCGTTAGGAAGCCATTATTTACTTCCTGTTAAGGGAGTGCCACACTTGGCCAAATGTCCTCACTTGAGTAAAATTTGGTGGGTTTTGTGGTGAATTTAGTGGCAGTAATTTTAAGTGGTTATATCGTAAATTTGCCATATAAGAATAGCGCTAGAATTTAAGAGGAAAAGTGGTGGTCAAATGCAATAATGGTTCGTATCTTATATTCCATCAAGTATTCCTTCATTCCTCCACAAATGAGGTATGCCATCATGATGTCATAACTTACAATCAAGCCCACAGCGAGCACGAAAACGAAGTACAAGACCAGAACCAGGATGTCTTCCCATTGAAGTTGTATTTCTTCATCCTCAGTAATATTGTCCGCCTTCAAAGATGCCATAACGGAGAGCAACCATTACACACTTCCACGTTTCGTTGTGTACTGACCGTCAGACCGTTAAGCAAGCCCGGGGGTGGGGGGGAATTTTATAGTATGATACCAGAGAATCAGTCGGCATTAGATAATACTAAATGTTTTCTGTTTCTTAACATACTCTCGTTATAAGAAAAATCGTAATTTTGTGTAACATTAAAGGTAATCACTTTGAAAATATTAAAATATAGGTAAATCATAAAGTAAATAGTTCGTTTTGTAAGACGTGATGGATAGTGGATAATTTGTTTGTAGCCTCAGTGAGTCTTATCTTTTTATGACATTTTAGATATCGTCAATTTCTTCAAAGATTTCAGTTTAAAAACAATAGACGCTGTGGCATGTAACAAGATAACATAATCTAGGCTAATTCGTAACACAGTCGCGCTAAGAATAAGTAAAATTGATTGGATTCATTGGGTTAAGATATTGTTTTGTATAGGCCTCGCAAGACAAGCAAATCCTCCACAGTTCCATTCAACATTTCACCTTTAGGGTGTGGCAGTGAAGTGGATACAGCGTTTGTCTCTTATGGTGTTTGAGTACGAAATGGTTTCTCACCAAGCTAGTCGTCTGTCCTCGTGTCAACCTGAAACTCCATTATAAAAAATAATAAGTGTACGTGCTGTAGGTTACAAGAGAAACTCATTAATTTACTTTTATATTTTCTTATTTTTCTATAAACTTATTGTACTCAGAAGACATACACAATACATGAGTAGAAGGTACTAAAAATCATCTAAACAATCCAGTAGCAAAACCTGAGATACGTTTTGATTCGTCCATATTGTTTACTTAAGTAATGTGAAGAACTACAGCATAATTAAAGAGTAATAAACAATACAGCTGTAGATGAGCCATACATTACAGAGGCCCGGGATGAACAAAGACAGTGCTGTACAGTATACAGTGTATTTGTGCTACTGAATATACAGGAGGCACAAATTGATTATAGTGAAGATCAAAAACACCTCTTGCCTGTTAATGTTATGAATTGTATTTCTATCACCTCTCTCTATTTTCTTTTTTAATTAGTAAGTCAAGTATGTTAAATATATTATTAATCAAAGCAAATAGCGCATGCATCTATTCTAAAGGCAACAGTAATGTCTTTGTGCAAGCAAAAAAAAATAAAAATCATAACTCCTAATAATCCGACTAATTGAAAGTAAAACACCTTATAAAATGCAATTTATGATGAAATTTAAACTACAGGACTTAAATGTGTTTTGTAAATTGTGTATACAGTATTGCTATTTCCAAAAACTTCTTTTCCTCGTACAGTGAAAACTTACACCCCTCTATTGCCCAACATAGAATTTTGTTCACATTTTGTAGTACAATTTGTATATATTTTATACCAATAAAGTATATGTAATAGCAACAAGTTGTATATAAAACTTATATACAAAATATCCAGGATTTTTTTTACTAAAAGTCGACATGAAATGTACGAAGACCAGACGTTGATGGAACATGTTTTGAATAATTTAAACTTTTCAGATTTTGCAATGAACCTGAACATCTGTGCAAAGTATTTTGATGCCACCAACTTTAATGTAAACTATGATGATCTTGATCTATCCAAACATCAAGTTGACGTGGACTCTTGTGGATTCTCACTTAACCTCAGGTGACAAAGGACTGCCCGCGTTCCGTAGATGTTCACAACCAACACCACCCATTTTGTGTTATCACTGAATGTTGAATAACTCCAGCTGGTTATGACATCCAATATATATATATACAGTATATATACAGGTATATGTATATGCAGATCATCACCTGTTATAAGAATAAAACACACAATATGCCACTGTTCAATTCAGTCTATGCGTAGAAGCCCCAGACAAAGCCTGCAATAGTCATGATGAGGATCGCTAATCCATCAACAACACTGCAAAGATACACATGAATGCATTACCGTCAAGTATTTTTTTAATTGCACTGAGTACACCTAAACAGAGTACTAAATATTTCAGGAACTATTTCTAACGAGTGTTTCGTGTTACTGTATATAGGAAAAATATATACAATAACAAAGTTGATATAAGAATTTTGATACATAAATTTACTGATTAAGAAGCAGTATAAAAATAATGAACTATATAGGGAATCAAACAAAACCGTGAGCTCCCCAACACTATACAACCTATGACGATTTTTAATGATAATAGATGTAAGTAAATGAAGGAATAAAAGTTAATAGTAAAGTACAGCAATGGCAATTCTGTCTGCAGATGACTGACTTGACTTCATTATACGTGCTGTACAGTATGTCCGCGTTATACTATAAAAGATAATATTGTACATGTATATTATATTCTATTAACTAAAAAAATCCTCAGTAGTGTTAATTGTCATTAGCATCCGGGATTCAAGTAGGGTCATTACCTGTGGGTCTTGATGGGTACCTATTAGTCGCTTGGACACCTGGTTAGTTTATGAGACCTGTGATTCACCTGGGGTAATTATGAACACCTGTAATTCGCTTGTAACCGAGCACCTGTTATATACTTGGGGTTATTATGAGTATCTGTACGTTACTCGGGGTCATTATAAGCACTTTAGGTTACTATAACGACCTGCTATTTATACGTACGATCAGGTTTTAATCTCACAAACTGTTAGATGTATAATAACATGAAATTATTACGTGTGTGAAACATTTCTGCCTCGACTGGTTAAAGATCGTTCAGTCATCTTGAAAATCTGATCAAGTACTGTAAGGATTTCACATAGAAGAAGCATATAGGCCTACAGTTGTAATGAACCATGTTGGATATCTGAGTAATTCTGCCAACAGGTTAGTTTGGACAGAATGATAGGTACAAAACACATAAATTAGTAATGAGTGAAGTTAAAATACTTACTTCGTCCAGGTTTTTTTCTCTAAGAACTCTGCCGCTCTCTTGGCTTTTTCTTCTGGTGTTTCCTGGGTTGCTGGGTCCTCCTGTGGGGCGGTGACCTTCTGTGTATCTACCCCGCACACACAGTTGATACAGCGCCTCCATGCAGGTACTTCTGTGGGTACCCAAGTGTTTTAATTCCTCAGCCGTTACATGTTATTGGAATGACTGTCCGTTTGCTTAAAGGGTTTTTGTAAGTTAATTTTATTAAGAAAAGTTCATGCATTGTGTAAAATTAGATTTTCCTACAATCATCTGAATTGAAAATATTTTAGAACTTAAGACTGATTAGGTGAGAAAACTGACGCATTTTTTTATAAGGGATTAGCTCACCAGGGCACAGGTCAATGACCCACATCAGGGCCTGTGAAAAATATAATAATAATAATAATAATAATAATAATAATAATAATAATAATAATATTAGTAATAATTAATATAAAATATAAAAACGATATTAAATAAAAATATACTACTACTACTACTACTACTATACTACTAATAATAATAATAATAATAATAATAATAATAATAATAATAATAATAATAATAATAATAATCAATAGTGAGAAACGATATATGTATGTTGGGTTCTCAAAGTAAGAGAAACAATTGAAACCCTGCAATTGTAAATGAAGAGAAAAGGCAGATCAGCAACCTGGAATTTGGTCACAATTTTTGTGATGCCATATGGCAACAGGGTCTACCATTAGACAATACAATATGCTTCCAATATCTTCCCAGGCGGTAGTACCTCCCGGTTGGGTAGCTGCCCATCTACTTTTGATGTTACTCTTTTATCTTGTACAATGAAGTGTGTTAAACAGTAACATAATGAGTCATTATTGGTTCTTATATTGAAGTTTAGGTTATTATTATTATTTGTTAATATTATTAAACGTACCTTGTGTAGTGCTCGCAGTAGATCCTGACTTGTGGATACTATTTTCATTGGATTGAAACTGAAGTTCGACTTTGTCGTCTTTTGGTTGGGTCTCGTTCCTCCACTCTCTCACAGACACACGCACCTCCTGGCTGTGACGGGTCCAGTATGTCAGGCGTTGTATCTGTGTGACAAACATTGTGAAAATTTTGTGTGCCAAAACACAGGTCCAGAACGACCATCAACCAGTCATCAGAGTTCGACGTTTCTTTCCACTGGTAAATAACACACGGAAATAGCACCTAGGGAAAGTTCTCTGCTCTAGTCTGCGAAGGGTCTTTTATGGTATAAGCATTAGGGCCATCTTGCCATACGTCGTAGTCATGATAACCATACCCACATGCTCTTGCTTGGGCTCTCTAAGTATCGTTTTACAGTAAGTTTTTCGGTGTGACATTTACAATAAACATTAACAGATAATGATAAAAACTTTCAATTTTATTTACGGTGGAATTAACCTTAGCAATATTGTAGAATTATTTATAAAACTATATTAGAGGGATTGAAATGTACAGTAGATATTAATATTATCTGACAAGTTTAAGGTTTACAATAAAAAAATCATATCGACTATCAATAAAAACAATACCAATAATTTTCATTACTACTTACACATTTCTTGGGTATGGGTTCAGTAAGGTAAGAGACGACGATGGTGATCACAAGGACGATGAGGAAGAGGATACAACCAAAGTGTAGATAATGGACGTTGCCCACGATGATCTTGATCCACTCAGGCCTCTTATCCTGGTCCTCGCCTGTGAGGAGAGTCAGGTCTTGTTCAGTGTCAACTCAAAAATGTCATGATAGTTAATGGATTCCACAAATAAAAATACAAACCAAAATGCTAAATAAATACTTTCGATCCACCATGTCTCATTCAGTATAATTGGCATAATTTTGTGTTAAGAAGGGGCCAATTTCTGGAATTAAAAGTGTTTCGATACTGGTTTGGGATCCTGTGTGTTTGGTTAAATGGTTTTGGCTATGGTCACGCCAACCTAACCAAACCTGAACTGGCTTTTGATAATTTGCCATGACACGGTTTTCGGGTCATAAATCAATTCTTCAAGGTGTCATTCTTGTCCAAGGGTTAATGACAATGGCCCGATTGTCAGGTTGTCTTTATATTGTTTCTTTCATAACTATATTTACATCATTCATTGAAATTTTTAAGATACTATAAAAATGTTTGAGATAACCTCTATATCACATAGACTTGCGTTACTACTGCCAAAGTATAAAGCCTGCCACCGCTTACTTCCACACACGGGACAACAAAGGCGAACTCCATGATGAAGCGGATCATTCAATGACCCCGACAATGAGACCCCAGAAGGCTCCTGCAAAATCATTTTACCATAAGCCATACAACTCTAAACTGAAAGAATTTGTGCTTTCATGACCTATACATCACCCATTTGATAGGTATTTCAGAGGACTTACAGGCTCGGTGGTTCGTTCCCAGAATATAGCGAGGAGGTAGATGGCGCAGATGGGTGGAGACAAGAAGGATGAGATACTCTGGATGTACACAAACAGCTGAGAATTCGCCGAGTTTCTGTGACAAATAACACAGGTGATAAGAAATTATACAGTTTGTAACTTTTAAGGATAAGAATAACGGATATTAGTGGACTTAGCTAATGTTTATCATTTAATCTGAGAACAACAAGATGCAGGACTCACTGGATGACTGGGATCCATATGACGGATACCACCACCATCACCCACGAACACTCGCCCAACGATCAACAACTCCACGTCTGTCGCCTTCTTGCGGATTCTTGTCCAAATGTCGATAGAAAATAGTGGAAGAGGAGTTGAAAATGGAAGTGAGAGACGACATAGGGCTGCCATCATCACAGCCAGCATCAACCCTGACAATCCTGGTAATACAAATACAGAATGACAAGCAACTTGTAACTGGGAGATATGCTCAAGATCCATAGGCTCAACTTTAAAAAAGAAAGTCCCTTTATTAACAACAAAGGAAATAATTATCCTAATTATCAGTTACTGTTACAGGGTAAATAAAAATTCTGTAAAAGTGAAACTAAATGCAAATTGCATATTTAATACGGGAACAATGTCTTGTTTAAAAAAATTATTTACTTAAATTATTTTATAGTAATATATTTTTCATTATCTGTAAGAAAACCCCGACCCGCGACAGAAGAAATTATGGAAGAAGATCGTGCCAGGCAGCATACCTGCAGGCAGCAGATTAAGACAAGTTCAACGTAGGCAATGTTGGTGCAACCTGTCTCACTGCCACAATATTTCTTACACTCCTCGGGCACGACACAGGCCACCTTG